TAGTTCATCAAACAGGAAGGTTACATTTATGGATACAATCTTGACAAGATTCAAACCAAAGTTTTACTCACAATTTGCTCTGAGAGGATAACAGGTCCTTGCTCACCACTGATGGTACTCGGCCCCACAGGCAGCGGGAAAACTACTGTCATTGATATTGCTGCAGCTATTCTATTAGAACAACGCATTAGAAAGTATCGAAAGCATATAATTCTGATATCCACTAACACAGTCAGGTATTTCAACATTTTTTAAACTGTTTGTTTATATATTTACGTGATATAGCTATGTGTCATTGTCATGCAATGCTAATAAATGCAATTTCCAATCTTATTTCAGTTGTGCCAGGGTACACCTTGAAAATATCGTTAAATATGTAAAGAAATATCCCTGTCAGAATATCATACGGTTGTTGCTGCCCAAAGGTGTTTCCATGTCTGAGATTGGAGAACCTCTCCAAAAATATTCATTTACTTGGCAAGAGTCTCAAGAACAATGTAATACAAACTGGCGTATAGTTATAACAACCACTAATAACTGTCACTCCCTTCTGACACGTGGTATGGCTAACAGATTCACACATGTGTTTATTGATGAAGCTGATCAAGCAGCCTACCAATCCATCATTCCTTCTCTTGCTTTGACAAGTTCAAGTGGAAAAATCATTATTGTTGGAGACTTGGCACAGCAATTGGAGAGTAAGGTATATAAAACATAATCAATTATGCATATATATACTTTGTTTCTGTGATTGAAATAATATGAGGTTATTACAAGAATACTGTGAAGTATGCACGAAAACATTACAGTAGGGTATCAACCGACGTGCAGCAGAGGTCGATGCAACAACATATTATCTGAGTGCATACTTTGCAACTTATCTTCGTAATAACCTTATTATTATACATCTTTTCCTTCCAAGTATACATGAAAATACCGAAATCCCCCAAAAAAGTTTCAAGCAGATTTAGCGATCTTCTTTGTGTGGGCCCCGGTCAAACCCTGGACCAGCCATGTTTGTGTTTATTATTAGAGGACGCTTACGTGCGTAATTGTTCGATATTTTGAATTCGCGTTCCCTAATATGGTAGGATGGAAATACCCAGTGCAATACTGCATATTACGGCACACTCTAACGTATGGCGTTACGATGACAGATGTATAATATTATATAGCATGAGAATGGTAATTACTGTTGCTCATTTCTGTGTAGGTTGGATCATGTACAGTTGGTGACAAGTCAGCGATGATTTTGTTTCTCCGCCATTACTCTATTAAGCAACTATTTCTTAAGCGTATATATAGATTTACAGAAGGCATCAGACGATTTGTGAACACACATATGTACCCTGATATCAACATTGTTGGAAATGTGGAATCTTCAACTAAAGACGAAATAATACCCATACACGCAATTATACCTCTAGTTAAAGTCAAAGAACCATCTTTGAAGGAAATCGATACATATCAGGTATAGAACATATACATATCAATTAGAATTATCAAGTACATTTGTTCTTAAATCTGTGAAAAGACAAAACTAGTTCATAATTACCCAACTGTTTCTATAACAATTTCCTGAACAGACAATAATTTGATAGGCACATATCAATATTTGCTTCATGTATGAACTAATATTTACACACTGGAGTACATTAATTATCATGCAATTGTTCAATATAGATGCTGGAAATCACTTACAGAGTTGAACAGCTTTATCGTGACTGGCCTGAAGAGTGGGGAGAATTCAATGAAAAAAGTATTGGAATCATTGTAGAATGTCAAGATCAGGTACAGATGCAATAGTTACTGTTTATATGTTTA